ATCAGCAGTTATATTGACAACAATACAGTGTGCTGTCTTTCATTTCTGCCACTTTGTCCCCATTTCACTCAAGTGTTTGTTTGTCTTTCCTTCCCTCCTGTCCTCTGTACTGTTTTTCTCATTAACTTCTATGTCTTTTCACTGTCTCTCCAATTCAATCTGTATTTTCAACTGAATTCAAAATTACTACTGGGTGGATGGCGGCCCCCAGATGGGCACAGGATCCTTGAGGCCCCCTTCACAAACTATAACCAATACTGCTTAATTAAACCTATAAAGCTGAAACTGATCGGTAAGCACACAGTTCAATGACTGCACAAAATATGTCTTTTCTGTATATTTTCCTTTTTTAAAATTGCACAAATTACTGCTGTTTTTCATCTATTTAAAAAAAGTGCTGGCTCTTTCACATTTAAAACTTTTAAGCCAACATGGACGAGGAATGAATGAACTTTGAACATGACAACTGGACATATCCATCTGCTGAGGAAAACCATGTGATATAATTAAAAGCTCCAGAACAGCTACTGATGGACCTTGTAGGTCAGGTGTTTTTGTCAAGTCAACCCAAAAAGGAACTTTTTAATCTTGTTTCTTTTTCATTTGTGAGTTGATTCACCACTACTACAGCAGCTAACATCCATTAATACACACGATATAACAAATCATAACATGGTCATGACAAGGGTTTATTTATCAACTAATTAAACAACTTTAGATTAAAATGAAAATGTATAAATATATTTAAATAGAAACGATAATGAACTGTACTCAAGTCACTCATACTGTTGTTGTTTAATTATGTCTAGGGCTGCAACTAACCATTTTTTTATTTATAGTTTATGATCTGCAGATCATTTTCTTGATCAAACAATTAATCACTTGGGCTTTAAAATGTCAGAAACTTGTGAAACATGCTTATTACAGGATCCCAAAGAGCCCAAAGTGACATCTTAAAATGTCGTGTTTTGTCCAACCAACAGTCTGAAACACAAAGATATTAACTTAACAGAACATATTCACATTTGGGAGTCTGTAAACACCCTCAGGTGAGTTTTCACCCCTGAGCACAAGGCCCAAAAGGCCTGGTCAGTAACCTTTGTGGGAGAGCAGATGATGTGTGACAAAGAGAAAATTAGAGAGGCTGAATACTACACAGAAGGGGAGAGAAAGAAAGAAGAGGAGCAGGAAATGTTACAAAAAGAGAGGTATAGGTATGTGGAAGATAGAAAGAGATAAGTTGAGTGGAATTTTGTGCAGGAGGATGGATGACTAAGTGGGTAAGATGATAAATAGGAGAAGGGGTGGATGGATGAATGGGTGGATGCTTTGACACATGGCCCCGGGGGAATCAGCCATTCTACATGTCACTGTCACTCAAGATTAGTGGCATAATTAAACTCCTTTCGCACTGCGTGTGGTTCAAATGTGTGTGTGTCTGCGCATTTATTTGTGTGTATGTGAATGTGCACGTTGTTTTCCTGGGTGTGTGTGGGAGGGGTAGACTGTGACAGAGATTGATGGTGAGGGGAAAGCAGACCATTATGTTGTATAGCTAAAGCAGTGATAGCCTCTACACCCCTGTGTCTGTTTAAACTGCTGGCCATTTTATAGGCGTGGCACAAGTGACCCCACCACACACACACGTATACACACACACATACACACAGTTTCACCACCTTTAATTTGATGGGAAACTGCTTGTTTTTAGGGGCATTTTGTTGCTTTATTTGGCTATGGGCTGCAGCCGTGATGCCTTCGGTGAACTCCAGCCACTGTGGGAGCAGCACAGAGCTAGAGAGTTAAATTAAATGTCATTCACAAATGAGGCAATCAAAGGCTGAATTGTTAACCCAAGGCTCTTTCCAGTAATGAATGGATAGTTGTACGCAATTTTAATACACTACATGACATTTTTAAACACTCAGTCCCTTTAAAAAATAAAATCAGCCTTAATAGCAGGTTATTAGTAAACCCTTCAGCCTTCAATTAAGTGAATGAGAAATAAGGATAAAATGATTATCTTGACAACTCAGAGAGGACTTCCCACTGAGAGAGAGAGGGGAAGAGAGAAAGAGACAGAGTCTTGTTCAGAATAATGGTTGAAGACCATGTTCTTGAGCAGCTGCACTCCGACCAAAGCTACATCTCTCTCTCTCTCTATGTTTGTGCGTCTCCATGAATGAAAAGAGCCCAGCCGCTCCCCTGCCGAGCGGAACATCAGCCTCATCAAGTCGGCCAGAGGCAGCTACAACAGGGGCGGAAGTAAGATCTTTTGGCCTTCAAAATAACATAGTCCAAAGAAGTAAATATTCTGAAATCCGTTTCAAAACGGGAGTGAAAAAAAAGCCTGCTGTGGTGCCGCCTGTCTCCTGGTGCCTGCTTAACCAGTAGCCTAAATTTCCACTCTAAAATATCCAGGCTGCAATTAACATTGATAAAGCAGAGCAGACAGAAATAGATGCAGAGCAAGCCCAATGTATGCTTGAATACCATCATTAGATACCTGGCACCAATATGACAAAAAAAAAAGAAAACTGGGCTACAACCTTTCAGCATAGCCTCATCTGTTTTGTCACTAAGGCTACTGAATGTTTAGTTCATATTGTATATATTTCTCTTTTTAAAGTAAATTTTATGGATAAAATCTGGTGAAAATATTCCACAAATAAAAAATTGTCTTACTGGGGTGCACTGAGTTTCAGTATCCCCTATAAAACCTAAAGGGCTATGATTTCTAACTAGGTGCAAGCACAATCTACTGCAAACATGTGCACAAGTCAAGTGCATGTGGGCCAGACCAGTTTGGGCAGTTTTGGATTAGACTTGCAGCAAAGTATTCACAGGTCTAACATTTTTAACCACAGCAGAGAACCTGACTTGAACCCAGGGTGATTCTAGGATCCGACCTTTAGGGGGGCTCAATCACTAATGACAATGAGATTTGCTTATAGTGCCTTGCCAAAGTGTAGGGCCATAGAGTATTAATGACATAGCAATGTGGAATCACTGTGGAGTCCACTGCAATGAATGTGGGCAAAACAGTAGCTGACTTGGCATTATTGCTATGTGGTCTTGACTACCTGCTTCTTGTTCCCTCTCTCTCTGTGTCGACTCCATCCTGCTCTCTCTACTTCTCCCACTCTATGTCCTCCTCTCTCCGTATTTGTGCTGTCATCTAAAAGGCAAATGTAACAACCAAACAAAGAACTAATAATAAATTAATAATAATAATGCAGTCAGGTCAATTTGACCTAACTCTCTCACCTGAACCTGTATGTTTCTATTTATTTACCAGGTACAATGCACATTAATTAACATTCCAGTTTACACATCAATGTAAATGTGCTGGAGTTAGCTAATAAGCTCATTTTCATCTGAACAGGTTATAACCTGGCTCTAGGCAAAATTCTGCAAAAGGGCCGGCTATACTGTCTGGACTGGCACCCAAAGCACCAGTTTTATTTCATGCACGTGCATATGAATGCATGTTTACACACAACATGGTTATCTTTTCCAAGGTTACAGTTTACAAACACAGTTGCCCATTTGTGGTTATCAAAAATAATAAATAGGCTGGCAAATGAGACACAGAGAGACCAAGAGATGTGCTGCCTAGCTAACTATAGCAGGACAGAGGCGGGGCCCTTGTATAATTTGTGGGGCCCCACACAACTTGCACATAGTGAACATTAAGAGCTGTCTGGCTGCAGATTTGTGAAACCCTATTCGGCCTTTAATTGGCTTAGCCTGACAATGTTTCTCACGTAGCCCTCGCTGAAAGAGCAGGACGTTTGTGCTGTTCTGCTATCTTCGGCAAATTAGCTGAAAAAACCCCGTAAAGGAGGATGAGAAGTTTTTTTTTTTTTAGCTCAAGATTGTTCACCATAACAATAATTGAAAAACTAGGACACTGAGATGCACTAGCCACTTTGTTGGATGAAAGAGATGCAAAGGCAGCAATCAATCCAATCACAGTGTAACCCATGTTGTAATTTAATGCCACACGTTGAATAGAATAAACAGTGTTTGAAACAATAGCAAGCCATGACTCAACATAACAATAACACCAGACCCCCATTTTTTTAAGGATTAATTGGACTGCCATTGATTCTTTAGACCTTGCTAATGTCCAGTCAAATGAACCAGACGGACGTAGTTAGTTATAAACACAATACAAACATTTTTTCATGAATGAATGAGAGAACAGCAAGAGTCATATATACAACAAGAACAGACAGCTAACAATTAGACTACAATGATGCCTGAGTAAAAAATGTAAATGCATTATAGTTAGGGCAGGGCAATATGACCAAAAATGTTATCACAAAAAATCATACCATTCAATATCAATAATTATCACAATAAATGTCAAATCAATATTTCTTTCAAATTTAAAGGCTGATTTTTGCTCCTGAGTGAAAATTGAAGAAACCAGATTGTTAATCGTGTGGTTAAAGTTTTCTGTATGGTCAGAACGTGACAAAAACTTGATGCCAAACAATGGATCACTTCACAAGTCTGAGGCAGAACATTCAAAACTATTATAGTAAATCTTTTTTCAGTCCCTTTTCCTCAACAAAATAAATACGTAAAAAGTAAGTTCTAATTTGTTCATGATTCAAACTAATTCAATCAAACATTTATTATATATATTTGTATATAACATTTGTTACAGTTATTGAGGAAAATGATATTGTGATAATTATCCTTAGTTTTATTTCCCAGCCCTAATTATAGACCGTGAAACCCTTTCACCCCTTCCAGTACATGAGACATTAAGAACACATTAAAAAGCTTGCTTGTTTAAATATGAAAGTTTACAACAGATTCAATGAAAGACGCTTGAGCCTGAGGTGCCCGAGTTCATTTTCAAAAAAGAAACCTGATCCTAAAGGAACCGGAGGACAATAAGACCTGGTCCAAATAGGGTTGACTTGAGATAACAGAAATAGAGGACACCACCACCAATGAACAACCAGCTGTGGTCCAAAAGAGTACACAACACAGGAACATTTTCCCTGGACCCAAAACCCCAATGTTCTATTGCGATGACTATGATCAGAAGTGGCAGCAAGTGTGTTTGAATCCTTGGGTACGTCTATCAGACATACTGACAAATATAGACCCTGTCCAGACCAATTAAGATGAAATAAAGTTTATTGGAATTAGCCCAAATTGGATCCAAGATCAGGTCTTGCTTACTTGCAACCCAGCAGACCTCTAAGGTCAGATGAAGCAAAGTGAAGGTGGTGGAGTAAAATAATTACATATACTGTATGATACAGTATCAGCAAATAAATTGAGCGCTAACACATGACAATGCTAGCTTACATTATGTAGGCTATGTCAAAGCGAAGGAGCTAATGGGATCATTTATGCAGAGTTCTGTGTGGCAATAAACACCTCTTTAAAAATGCAACCAAACTTTAGGACAACAAGAGTAGGCTATTGAACCATTATTAAAGTTTTCGACATTGACACCCCCCAGTGGTGGCAACAACACAGAAAACGTAAACCACTGCTGGTTTGATTCTGCACTATATCCAGGTTAAGAAAACACACGCCTTTATTTTTTTATTTTGAAAATCGCAACCGGAACCGCTGTGCTGTTGCGCGGCGTTTGACTTGACAGATGGCGGGCGAGAGACGCTCCTCTCGGCTGTCTCTCTCGGTCCGTTGGTCCATCCCGGTTCCCCATTGTCTCCCCTTTTCACTCCTTGAAGACAACCCCGAGACGACAAACTAAACTTAGCCGTTATTCCGCTTATGTCGCCTTCCTTTGGAGACTTACCACGACCTGAAATTTCACCCTGTCCCTGTTCATCTGAAATGTGGACATGCTTTTCTCTCTCTCTTTTTTAACGTTGTAGGGATGTATTCGCTGTAACGGAGGGGGCAGTGAATTGACCGACCAGCGGCTGACGGAGCTGGGAGCACGGTTGATGGGGGAGATGAACCGCAGGAGGACTTGTTAGCCCAACAGAGACGCCGAAACCACCTTCCAGGGGGCTGTTGACACATCACAGCACCCTAGCAACAATTTTACTCTCCGTTTTTATGAGTGCATAAAACACCAAGTTCAGACAGAGGGAGGGGAAGAAAAAGCAAAGATACTGGATTACAACGGCGGTGGGTGTTTTTGTTTGTTTTTGGCTTGAATGAACCCTGGAGGATGTTGCCGCTACATGCCCGTTACTTCCCCTGAGAGGAGAGCACAGGAGAGGAGCTCGTCTGTGAAAGAAGGCAGGGGACCACTTGCACTTGTTTTCTCCACCTTGAAACAAATGAGGCTGTTTCAATCCAAGTAGCGTTTACTCGAGATTAATCAATTAAAAAAAACATTTCATGTGGATCATATATACATCTAAATCTCACCACCTCTCAGCGCTTTTCTAGTCTTTTCTTCAGTGTTGTTTAAAGTGGCTACTGTAGCGTGTTAATTCAGTGTATTCATCTTAGACAAGGATGCGGCTAATCAATGTGATTGGCTGGACTTTCTAGTCCACTTAAAGGCTGAAGGTCCTGGAGAAGTGGACCCTGTGTGGAAATAATTGAAGTCCGTTTATTTGCCTCAGGTGACCCACATGATTAGAAATCTGAATTAAATCTGTGTTGTGATCAGTCAGTCAATCAAAATGCACCACACCAGCTGACTTATCAGACTACTAAACTGCTCAGCTGGCAGAGGCTTGGAAAGGGGCTTTCCTCTGTGGACACAGAACAATTTGTGGATGTGAATTACCCAAAGGCCCACCTTCCATTTTTGATCCCTGACCTTCTGTGTGTTGAAAATCCAGGGGACCACATTTCAGGCTGTTTACCTGTCTGCAACCCCTCCATCTGAATGAAGTAGTAGCCTTTTATTCCCCTGAGACCCAGCGAGTACAGGCTGTGCACTTGGTTCACTGAGGCCCAAGCAGCGAGCGCGCCCTCTACCTGGGCTGCCAGCCAGACAGCCAGACAGCCAGCCAGACGGCCCTCCGGGGGCTTTTGGATTTTGAAGGTCCAGCTGGAGACTTGGGAGTTTTACCCAGAGTTATTTCACCACGAGCATCACTGGAGAGAAGGGAGGAGGACACCATGGGGTGCTGTAGTGGCAGGTGTACCTTGGCCTTCATCTGTGGCATGCAGCTGGTAAGTGTTAAGATTGCTATTGATCCTGGAAGGGATGGCTAAATGGGTAGATCAATCAGGAGAAACAAAAGGTTGTTTTTAAAAAAAAAATCTTGTTCAAGAGTTCAAGACAAGAGTTCATGACAGGGAAGAAAAGATACCTTGGCGACTAGATATGCAGCAGGTGGATAGATGGATGGATGGGTGACTGAAAGGTCACATTTAAAGAAGTTAATAGGTGTGTAAAAGGTCATGATATAATGTAGGATCTGGCTTGAGGGACAGATTGACAAATAGGTAGATTGAATGGATGAATGAGTGTTGGTGGGAGCTCTAAGGCGGAACTAAGAGTCCATATAGAGCACTGATGGATAGACGGAGGCTGGGAGTGATAAATGGAGCCAGTGGAGGTAAAGGAGGGATGGATGGCTGGATAGCAAATGGATAGATGTATGGGCTAGGTACGTGTGATTTATATGAACAAGTGTATGGACGGAGGGCAGGAGGAATAGACCTGATATAAACTGAGGGAGTCAACTTCTGCCTGTGTCTGTCCCTCTTTGTATCTCATTCTCCCATCATCCTCTGTGTCAATGGAAACGGGTGCCAGGCAAGACAGTATGGGGGGCGGGGGGGAGTGTGTGCATATGTGTGAGGATGTGTGAGTAGGAACACAAAGTGATTTCATTAGTTCAGTCCTGTAAGTTGGTCGGCCCTTTTGTGTCCCAAACAAAAATGGCCAAATGTAGGCGATCGTCTGTCAGGTCAAGATATTTCCAGCTAAAATACAATGGATTTTATTAGGATCTGAAACGCTTTTCTTCAGTGTCCAACAACCTTACAGAGAGAAATCCATCAAATAAATAGGAGAGAAACTTAATGCACTACTGCTTGATTGTTTAGGCTACTTAGAGGCAGCATGACAAGTTGAACACACAACACAACATTGACCTTGTGACAGTGATATGGCAAACATGTTGGCAAACAATTACTTCTATTCAGAACATTAGCGACGTTAGCGTTAATTTGAAATTGTGTTTCTGGCCTGTGTAAGAAGTGAAGTCCACCATTCACCTCTCCTACCAACTCCGTTTTTGGTCTCCACCAACTTCTGAGGGAATTTTCTGGCTCTTTAGCTGCTAAATGCTCCGCCATGTTCACTAGCTAGCCTCGAACTTTGTCTGTCTGCAGTTTGGTGCTGTGCAGGTAGCGTACAGCAGAACGTTTTCAAAATGTAAAAGTAAAGAAGTAAAAAAAGTAAAGTTGTGGACCCTAAAACCAAAACAATAGGCTGAAAGATGCAGACACCCTCTGTAGAGCTGGGGAGACGCTAAAATGCTCTGTAGTGCTGGAGGGAGGGGGTACGCGTAGCCTTTGTGCAAACATCCGACTACGCTACCAGGGCACCAACCGCCAAGCTGACTCCAGAAAGTAGTATAAACATAAGTAGTACGTGGTGTCCGCAGCTGTCCGAGTATGCGTCCACTCCAGAGTATATTCGAGCCTTAACACGCTCTGTGGGAACTGCAGAGGTGGGTGATACATTTCTGTGGGTTTGTCACTATGAGCGACACCTTTCACATTTCACTCGTTGTTTATATAAAACATACTAGATGTTAGTGTAGCTTTAATACAAAATAGAAAGGTTTCACAAAACAATGTTGAGTGAGGTGCCTGACTTTCATTTTTTAGCAAGTGTCAAACGGTTGCTGTTTTGATTGCTATCATTATTCTGCTCCCCACCTTGTGTAAGGCACAAAGGAGCGTTATTACTGTACATACACTAGTATCAGCAAGAATAACAGCTACAGTTGGAGAAATGAGTCCAGGCACCCTGGAAAATGAAGGAAATCAGTACCTCAAGGATAGAAGCAGAGTAGGGAGGTTTAGGCAAAGTGGTACCACTCACCACAAAATAAATCCCGCACAGCAAACTGTTTGTGTTTTGAAACTGTAGACATACTGTGATATAAAATGGGACATTGTATATGTGCATGCACACTGATGCATAAACATGAGCAAAAGTGCTTGAGCTGTAGCATTCTCAGCTCATGGAGTCATCATGTACATTAAGTATGTGCAAACTGAAGACCTATTGTCATGTTGAATGGGACACTGTTACAGACATGATACCCTGTATGTGATTGCATGTGTGTGTGTGTATTCAGTACAACAGAGAATGATATCTGGAAAGGATGTTAATGTGTATGATCCTTGCTGTGTGAGTGTGTGCTTAGCTCCATTGTGCTGTGAAGTGGGACACTGCTATGCATTTTTTCATTAAAAAAAAAGGTTGAGTTAACCTAATGTCTACTGTGCGATGCCAGTGAGCTGGCCACATGTGCCGTACATACACGAAACCCGCCATTGTGTTGGAAATGGGGATGCTGTGTATTTCTGTAGGTGAAGGAAAAAAAAGAGGGCGGGTTTGTGAGTGTTTGTGTGTGTGTGTTTGTGAATGAGATGCTGTCACAGTGATAGTCTTTGTGTCTAATGCGGTGGAACTAATGCTATGCCATAGTCAACAACATGTTTTGCTCTGTTAACTGTTGTAATAGCTAAGCCAGCTGATACCACTGCTAGCTGAGCTGGAGGTCTAACACTACTGTATGTTACAGTTTGGCCATGCACAGTTAGCTTTGTTTTAGCTGCAGTCATTTAGACAGAAGTGAAGTCTCCTGATGGCGAAATCTTTGTCTTCAAACACATAGCCCCCCCCCCCTTTCTTTTTACAGTCTATCAGGAGTAGGTACCCACAGGAAACCACACTGCCCACAATCCTCTTTGTTCAAAGCAACCTAATTGACCACAAATTAAAAGACAGCCCTTTTCCTCTGCTTGCTTCTCTGCCCACCCCCCGCCGGAGGTAATTGTTTTTGCTATGTGAGCGTCCACCTAATAGTTGACCTCGCAGAGTAGAAAACAATGCTGGTCTGTGTGTCTTGTGTAGTGGAACTGATGTCTTATGTAACTCTTAACAGCGGTGTTTCTCCTGCTTCATTAGCTAGGTTAATTGGTAAAGATAGGTGATGTCACTGTAGCCGAGCAGGGATCAATGATCCAGGTTGGAGATATGGCTACTTCACAGCTGACATCACCACGTGTCAAGAATAATCAGTCCCAGCAGGTGAAATTCTGCCAGCTTGATCCAAATTAGAGTAAATGTTGTGTTGTTGCTGTGTGTAAGGTGTTTTAGTTAACTTAATGCTCCCTTTTTTTGTTTGTCCTACAATCCAAAAATGTCTTCTGCCATTTGGAAGAAGCGCAGCAACTAATAATTATTTTCAGTATTGATCAATCTGCCAAATCGTCCTTCATTTAATCTATAAAATGTCAGAAAATACTTACAAGTGCCCTTCACACCTCACGCTTAAGCCCAAGGAGACATCTTCTGATTACGTTTATCTCACAGACAATCCAAATCCACTTCATCATCATAAGAGAGAAAGAAGAAGCAAATCCTCACACTTGAGAAGCTGAAACCAGAGAATTTTAGGACTTTTTGCTCGGGAAATAACTTAAATGATGAATCAGTTATGACTGTTGCTGATATCTTTCCTGTCAATCGACCAATTCGACTAATCGACTAATTGTTTCAGCTACATTTGAAAGGGTGGAGGCCTGACCCTAAATTGAGGTGTCTCAGATTCAGTGGGAAACATTGATTGGCTCTAGGACTGTAATCATGTGATTTGGTTCTCACACTCTGGGATCAGATGTACAGTAAATATAGTTTGTTAAACCAACATGTGTGTTTACATTGAAAATCTGACTAATGAGGATTGGAAGGAAGCAGATTAATGATTTTTGCAGATCGACAATATTTTGAAGCAACTTTTAAAGACTAATAAAATGTATGAATTTATACATTGTTCTGGTTTGCAAACTGAATGTTTGTATTCCCAAGATAGGTTGACTAAATGAGGGTGAAATTATAAAATTATACATTTAAAGGATAGTTGACATACCCAGAAATCCACGTATGTGTTTTCTTGCTGAGAGTCAGATGAAAAGGTCAATACTCGGTGTGTTACTGATAACCAGGCACCAGTAATATGGTGCAATGAAACATGTGCAAACTGTAAAAAGTGTGTGGTAGTGCTGTGGCCAGAACGGGGAGGAACATTATAAAGTTGTGCAAAACAGAACAGAGCAAAAAGATCATAGCTGATCAGATGGTGTTTTTACCAACAGCTTTTTACACACACGCACACACACACACACACACACACACACACACACACACACACACACACACACACACACACACACACACACACACACACACACACACACACACACACAGATACACATATGCCACTGGTGACTCACTTTCTGTGGCGATGGTTGTGGTCCTTGTTGCTATATCAGTCCGCACACCCACCAGCTGCTGTCACAAACATGATGACTAAATCATCCAATGGCGTGATAGGTAACAGTATGACAACCGATGGCCTCACTCCATTGGCTGGTTCAATGGATGTTGTGCAGACGCTTGGTGGGTGTTTATGTTGATGGAACGTTAATTATGTTGTTGGGATGCAAGCTAAATGAATATAGTAAATGGAGGAGAATTACAGCTTGGCAATGCAGTATAGTGCACAGTTACAGTGAGATGATTATTCAGTGATCCAAAAGAATAGATTTCAAAAATACAACACCAAATAAAAAACAGAAAGAAATTACACTTGTCTTTGTACAAGTTTATAAGATATAAAGATTGTGTAATGTCTAATTACAGTTCCGATGTCATCCTGTGCAATTATATAACCACAAAAGTCTGCGAATTTAATCCGTGTGTGTGAACTTGACAACATATTCTCTCTGTGTGTACAGTCTCATTATCTCATTATTCTCATTGTCTACGCCCATAATAAAGAGATGATCAATCAGTCTCTGTTTAGGCAGGGAAGTGTGTGCCATGTGTGGTCACGTGAGTAGCAGGTGAAAAATGGACGCCAGCGAGCCGGTTGACGGGGCTGAACAGGTGGACAAAGAAAATCCCGCAGCCTCTGTTACGC